TCAGTCGGTCGTGGTAAGGTGGTCGTGGCAAATCCTCTGTTGAAGCAGAGCTGCAAGTGTTTTACCACAACCTTGAGGACTGTGCATGTGAATACAACGGAGTTGTTCTTCTCATGGGTGGTTCTAGACAGGGGCCAACGGGTGGATAATGTCCTCGCCCCTGTTATGGCCCCTGTACTGAAGACATAATACTCAAATGATCATAATATGTGCTGGAACAGACACGGTTACTGATCGGTCCTTTGGATCTATTTCAATTTTTTTTATCCCAAAAAATTCTGTTTTACAATGTATTTAAAAACAAAAAGCTGATCGCTTCAGTAGTTTTGAGATAGGATCCCAGTTTTTATCCACTAAATGTTATTTCAAAACAAATTGAAAAACAAACTAATTATTACAGCTGAATTTATTTATTTATTTTTTGTTCTAATTCTGATTTCATAGAAAACTAATTTAAACTTAAATTAAGTTAAAATATGTAAATTTCCTAAATTATGAATGTATATCGACCTAATATTCAAAATAATAGCTTTATTTGTCTTATTTATTTATTATAGCTTTTATTATTATTATTTTTAACAGTGTCCTGTCTGGCAATGCGGCAACAAGGATAATTGTCTTGATGCCAAAAAAAACCCCAACAGGTTTTACTTTCACAAGTGGAGCAGTACGGCTATCGCTATCGTGTTCCGCTTGATTTATGCATATAAATAGCTTTATTTGATCTTAGGTGCGGGATTTGTATTTTGATTTTAACGATAATCCAAATCAATCTCGAGCCGAAAATAAATATTTTAGTTGGAAGACATAACTTTGAATGGAAATTTTACTTCATGAAGCTCTCTTAATATATTTGAATCCCATCGTTATATAGTTTGAACTGTAGCTGCGTGCTATTATGGAAAATTTCGCACAGTGTTTGCCCGGCTTTACTTATTCCATAGCAGGTATGTTGTCACTTGAGGATAACACAGAGATGCACTACAGATACCATTTAGTGCATAATTTGGATGAAGGAATAGAGTAATAAAGTCAAAGCTTACAAAGAGGTTTCCTTCTGTGCAGGAGGCCCTTTGTTCAAACCTGATCCTTTTATTTTTCCCCCTTATCTCTGAACAGCTGCTCAGCCTCCATTTCTGTCTCCTCAGTATTTCATGCTTCCTTCTCATTACTAGATTTAACTTAATTTCATCCAGATTTCTTTGATTGAAATCTGCATTCTGATGTTTAACCCTTTAAAGCCTGATCCAAGAATAAAACAAAACAGAAAATTACTTTTTTTTTCGGTTTGAAGTCGTAATTTGGCCTTTTAATAAAATATGTAAAAAGAAAAAAGAGAAATACATTTTTGATATTAATAATTTATTACTATGTGATAAGTCAAGATTATTTTTTGTGTAGTCTTCTGCCCTCTGTTATCAGGTATATCTGATTATGTACAATAGGATTTTGAGCAAAGTTTTTACCATTAAATTATGCAAAAGGTGTCAGACGCAAAACATTACAGAAACCGTATGTATTAAATACGATACATTTGGCATTACAGGGTTAACATCACCCCATGCATGAATGCCAGCAGCTAACAGCCGTTTGTGCTTTATACACTTTAAATAGGAGCACATTTCTGAAAGGTTCTAAGCTTTGGTGTTAAAATGTTTTTGGGTTGATTTTTTTTAAATAGTTCAGTAATATTCCTCCCATGACTGATGAAGTAATTCAGTAGAAACGAAAAATAATGTTTGATCATTAAAATCGTTAAAATCCCCTGATGTATTGATGCGTAGAACCAACTGCTATAGATTCTACACCACCTCAATTTAATTGAGTTTATTTCTATGGAGCCAATTCATATCATCTCAGGTCACTTTATAGAGACAATTTAACCAGATCATCCAGTCTGATTGGTTCAAAGTTTTCTATCTAAGGAAATCCAGTTGTTTGCATCGACTCATTGACTCTTCAGCAATCCCTCACACTAAGCATGCTTGTAGCGACAGTGGAGAGGAAAAACTCCCTTTTAACAGGAAGAAACCTCCAGCAGAACCAGGCTCAGTGTGAGCGGCCATCTGCTGAGGCCCACTGGGGTTCAAGGAGACAGAAGCAGACATAGAAAAAGAAGCATAGATACAAAAGGCAACTGTCAACCAGCTCCACAGGCGGCCCCGTCCAGGAAACACACAGCCAGGCAGACGAGCTCCGAGCCAGCTCCCATGTCAGAGGATGAAGAGAGCACATCCAGTTAGTCACAGTCAGAGAAACAGGACTACACTGGAAAACAGGCCAAGCTCCAACATCTAGAAACAAAGGTGTTGATGGCAGCAGCACAGCTGATATTTCTCTCCAGGATGGAGTAACAGCCAAACACAACACATGAGGATGCTGAAAGTCGGCCCGATGGAAAAATTCTCACATGACTGGAGAATCGGCCCGAAAAGAGTAAAAAACCGTAGTGTATGCCTGGTTTAGCTGGGATGTTAGAATGGCCAAGTCAAAGTCAAGGCATAAATCCAATTGAAAAATGTTGCTTAACTTGAAAATTGATACTCAGCATTAGGGGTGGAACGGTTCATAAAATCCATGGTTCGGTTCACGGTTTCGTGGTCACAGTTTTCGGTTCGGTATATGTTGACTGTTAGCCTGACATGTTGCTCGTGTTGCTGTTAGCATAAACAAAACGTGTTGCACAATGCTTTCACACTGTTGCACTTTTATCCACAGCTTTCTTTCCGCCGTCATCGTAGGTCACTCTAAATGCAAAGTGGTCCCATACAGCAGACCTATAAAGTGCTGCTGGCGCATCTTCCAACTCCTGTTCTTTCCCACTCGCCATACCCACACAATTCTCCACAACAACTGATTTTTTTCTGCTACACCCGGCTACGCTGCTTCGCTTATTCTTCTTCGTGTTTACTACTGGCGGTTGGCTTTGGTCGCAGTACCGCCACCTTCTGCTCTGGAGTGTAAACGCTTCTCCTATGAGCTGATGAAGGTTCTCAGTCATCCAGGTCATAGTCAATCCTTAAAAATTCAAAAAATATCCACTGGACTTGGTTTTCAAGATTTGAAGACGTTTCGCCACCTCTCCAGGAAGCTTTCTCAATTCAAATGTGTCTCCTATGAGACAATAATAGGCTTCGCCTATGAGAAAAAGGAGCAGCGCATGAACCGAACGCAACACATGCGAACCGAACCGAGACAGTCCAACCGAACGGTTCAGCATTCAGTTTAGCTTGAGCTATAATGGGAAGACGAACAGGAATACAATGTCAGTACTCAGATGGGAAATACAGGAATAAAAGAAAAAAAACCAAGTGCAAGTAAAGGAAAATCAGGAAGCTTGAGTTGGTCGGATTTTAACCCATTACTCTTCTTACTGATTCATCAGTACCTGATCAATAAAATCAATTGGGGGCTCTTCTGTAAGTGGGGTAAATGACTGACCATCTGCTGTCCTGGAAAGAACCACAATGAACTGGTCCGGACAAAAACGAGACACCGGATATATTTCCTTTAAGGCCGGAAGGTCAGAGCACTTAAAAAAGTTCTCCTTTTGTTCTGTGCCTCAGAGAAAATAAGTCTGGATCTAAAACCTGAAGTGATGCATGGAATGAAAATGGCCCCCTATGATAATATGTTGGGATTAGCTGCTAACATCGCCTCCAAGCTTGACCACACTGGCGATCATAAATACAGAGATTTCTTAAATTTACCCTCAATTTGATCAGGCAAATAGGATGATTTGCGTGTTTTTACTGTTAAAATAAGAGAATTAGATAATATGCACTTGAAATAAGACAATGGAATTGTTTTTTTCCTATTTTAAATGTAAATCATCTTGTTCCATTGGCAAAATGTCTCACTTAATACCTCAATTCAAGAAAAAATGCAATTATATTAAGGAAAAATTACTTAGATTGAAACTTTTTGCAGTGTAACCACACTGGAAAATTATCTTTCATAAATTAAGTGTATTTACCATTAATTCACTGCAAAAAATCTAAATCTAGATAAGTCCTTTTTTCTCAAAATAAGTGCATTTGTTCTTGAATTGAGGAGGTAAAAGAGACATTTTGCCAATGGAACAAGACAATTTACACTTAAAATAAGAAAACACAATTGCATTGTCTTATTTTAAGTGAATATTATCTAATTATCTTATTTTAAGAGTAAAATTACTCATTCCATTGGCAAACTATCTCATTAACCTGCTCAAATTAAGGGTGAATACACTTTATTTAGGAAATTTTTACTTATTTAGAAATTTTACTTATTTGAGTAGGTAAATGACATAGTTTGCCAACTGAATGAGTATTTTTACTCTTAAAATAAGAGAATTAGATAATATGCACTTGAAATAAGACAAATCAATTGTGTTTTCTTATTTTAAGTGTAAATTGTTTTGTTTCATTGTCAAAATGTCTCTTTTACCTCCTCAATCCAAGAACAAATGCACTTATTTTAAGAAAAAATTACTTATCTAGATTTTGATTTTTTCCAGTGTGGTTTGCATCATCAGAGTGTGACGTAAAACAGCAGCTGGAGGAACTGACAGGAGGAGAAACAGGAAAAGACGGCTCGGGGAAGGAAGAATGACAGAATACAAGAGGAAAACTGGGACAAAGGAACCATATGCACTAAACAAACACAGCAGAGGTGTTGCTTGAAAAGCCTGGGACATATGTTGTCTCACACTCTAAAAGCTGGCGTCTGAACATGCTGAGATAAAGTCGCTGCTCCTTTTGTCTCCATTATTGACGTTACTCTGATATAATCGATAACAGATGACAGGCTGCAGGGCTTTGGCGTGCATTCACCCACCGCCCCGTTTTTGACAGAATAACAAGCACTCTTGCAGAAGCACAAACAAGACACCCTACAGACGCTGCAGGTCCAGACCGAGTGGAAAAGATTGTGGATAGTATCTGACAGATGTTGGGGCTCACTTTAAACAACAGCAGAAACACGGGGATTGATAGAAATAAAGAAAACCAAAGACAAACCTTCAAAATCCGAAATAATCCCCTCCAAGTGTGGGTTTACTCCACCATCAGACATTTTCTTTCTGGCTTAAATCTTAACAAAATAATTATTTTTTTCCCTTGAAGTGGTTGCTTTTTAAATCTGCAGAATAGAGCCAATAGGAAACCAGATTCAAGCCCCAGCTCTCAGTGAAGGAAGCAGCTAACCTTCCCACTAACTTTTCTCTATTGCTGCACACAGAGTGAGGGGAAAAGGCGAGCCTCCTCCCTTCTCCTCCTCCCTGTAGTTTGAAACACACTCACACCCCTCCTCTAGTGTCCTGTGTATGAGTGAGTGTCCCCTGCCCCCCACGCACTCCTGCGTATTCACGCAGACGGCCGCCATCATATTCTGAGACTCTCCTCAGCTGAGAGGCTCCCAGGTGTGACTTCTTATTCAGCTTCCAAGCAGCTAAATTAAAGGAAAAGTCCGGTCAGCAAAGAATAATCAATGGGTCATAATATAGACCTAAAACTCATACGTCCGCAGGGATTTCAATCTGAAAAACTCACATGAAGAGGAAAGACAATTAAAAGAAAATTATTGATACAATTACTTTGTCTGTGGCGCTCAGACCTCGGCAGGAAACATAGTGCTGAATTTTGATAGATATGCAAGAAACAGGAGCAAAGAATAGGGCTGTTTCCCTCCCAGGCATGAAACTGGTGGTGGAGTGGAATCGTACGAAAAGTTATGCACAGTATTTCATACGTTTTTCACATTTTTCCACGAAAAAACACATCAGTGCGCATGCGCAGCAAGACAGACGAAAATAGCAGATCCGCTGACGGACGTAAAACTGGGAAGAACAGTACGATAATTACTTCTTCGGGTCTCTAACTAGGTTGCTTGCTGTTTTGTTTCTTAGGGTTAGGGTTAATTGTATGTTAAATTCTATGTTATTTAATGGTGCGTAAGATGTGCACGCGCAAGGATATCTTGTCTCGAGGCAAGACGTAAAAATACGACGAAATGAGACGAAAAAAACGTCAAAAACGTACGAAATTACTGTGCATAACTTTTCGTATGATTTCATACGAACAGATAATGAGAATACACTGAGATAGATGGAGTTGGTCAGTCTGTAGACTGCTGGTTAGCAAGACGGTATGCTGAGCTTTATGGGGAGATCCAGTGGACTGCGTGAGCTGATACTAGAGCTTCACTCAGGGACCTGGAAGATGGAAGTCCAGGTTGAGAGAACCTGTCCATGATGAGCAAGCATGAAGCAACAGTGGAGAGAAAAAAACTCCCCATTGGGAAGAAACCTCTGGCAGAACCAGGCTCAACATGGCAGTCTTCTGCCGGACCGGTTAAAATGAGACGCGGAACGCAGTAAGAGTCCGGGAGGAATGATGAAGCTTTAGCTACGATGGTGGAGGAGGGGTAACCTTTCTCCGTACTAACAGAGCGATGACGAAAACACAACCACAAGCCAGGCTACTCTTGCCGAAACCAGTCGGGAGAAGAGCAAAAACATCTTTTCCTCTGAGAAAAGCCTCCAGAGCAGTGTTTTGCTCTTCTTTCAGTGAAGAAATACTCTGTAATTCCCATAAAACTTGCTCGATAGCCACGCTAACGCTAGTTTCATCGGCTGAAGCCGCCATGTTCTTTAGACTGAACTGTCGCGCTTCTCATTGCGTCACACCTCAACCCGCCTCAAAGCCAACGCTGATTGGACATTCGTTTGGTGAACGGCTCCAAATTTTCTTTAACGGAGAGTCTCCAGACTGATCTGCGAGTGAAACCTTGAAAGCTCGCGAGATCAGGATGGTCTCACGAGGCTAGCGGTCTTTTGCCGGACCGGTTGAAATGAGATGCGGAAAGCTGTAAGAGTCCTGGAGGAATGACGCTCTGATGAAGCTTTAGCTACGATGGTGGAGGAGGGGCTGGAGGTGGGTTGAATCGGGGTCATCTGAATGAAGTCACCATCACCGGCGCACCAGGCAGCGGATAAGTTGCAGATCGGAGGCCTTTTAAGATGAACGTTGGATGCCGATTGGCTTTTTTTTGAGTTGTGGTTCAAAGCTGATTGGCTGTGTCACAGATGGATGTAGGAAAGCAATCAGTTTCTTCAGTTGAACTTCCGCCGAGGCTCCATTTAATGAATTTAGCTTTAATCAGTAAAAAAAATAAAAATAATCTTGATCGAGTCTTGGACAAACATGTTAGCATAGCCGTAGCTGTAGCTAAGTCTGTTTTAGAGACTAAACTAGCTAAAGGAGTTTTAATCACCTTCCACTCTTCCATTAATGAAATAGTATCCCGTCTGGCGCCTAAGAAGTACATGTCAGACTTAATAATATTAATTTAGCGATAGTTTCAAGGTGTAGCTTTATTGTATATCTCGTACCATGTCTTTCAGTTGTGCTGTTCTTTTTTCATCTCGTTACAGATGATGAAGCAGACTGTAAATGTTTTCATTTTATCCTTTCTATCTCTTCTTTCTTTTCATCTTTTTTCCTTTTCTTCTTCTGTGTTTCTGCTCTATTTACATTGCAGTGTCCATATAAACTGTAAAACTCCCTGCATAATTATAATAAAGCAATTTATATGCATAAATCAAGCGGAACACTATGGGGATAGCCGTACTGCTCCACTTGTGAAAGTAAAATATGTTGGGCTCTTATTTTGGCAACAAGACAATTATTCTTATTGCCACATTGCCAGACTGTAAAAAAAAAAAACAAGTTTCAACACATCAAAAAACGTGTAACACAGGGCTCTGTAGCGCAATGCATAGCGCATGGGACTTCTAGATACTGAAAACAATTCAAAGGTTATGAGTTCGAGTCCCTCCAGAGTCGCTTTATATTATGTATTTGCAGAGATGGGAAGTAACGAAGTACAAATACTTCGTTACTGTACTCAAGTAGATTTTTCTGGTATTTTTACTTTACTTTACTACTTATTTTTATGGCGACTTTTTACTTCTACTCCTTACATTTTTACACAAATATCTGTACTTTCTACTCCTTACATTTTAAAAAATTGGCTCGTTACTTTAGTTTTGAATCATTTCAATGGAGTTACCGTTATTATTTTTCACGTCATCAATACCAAATTCAATCTAATTGGATGGGAATCCACGTTGCATTTGACGCACCACTACAAGATGAATCGACAGATTCGGCGGTATTCATTGCCGGCAAATCCTTGCAGCTTGGTGGCGGTGGCGTTAGCATAGTAGCATGGACGACGAGATGATTGAAAATGAACACAACGGAGATCTAGTCCTATTGGCAGACATCCATTTAAAATGTAGGCAACGGCATGAAAAAAGTGGTTTCTACTTTTACTTTTATACTTTAAGTAAATTTACAAGCCTGTACTTTGTTACTTGAGTAAAGAAGTTTAATCAGTACTTCCACTTTTACCAGAGTATTTTTTAACACAAGTATCTGTACTTTTACTCAAGTACGGAAAGTGAGTACTTTTGCCATCTCTGATAAACCAGAGATTTGTTGAAACTGTCTTGCGTTAATGACCACTTTACCCCCAAGGATTAAATAAAGCTTCGTTAAAATGCAAGTTCTTCCTAAAGTACTAGCATAGTGAATAGAATGTTCTTTCGTTTTGTCATATTCAATAAAAAAAATTATAATAATAAAATGAAACAAAATAAAAAGTTGCCTAATTACGTCATTTTCCACCAATGTGTTACTGGCCCTCCCAAACAACCCACCTCTCTTCCTTCGTGGTGCCCATCTACATTAAGATCCAAAATTTTAAGTAAAAAAAGTGAGATTTTAATTTGACACATGCAGCCAATCACAGGCAGTAACTCAATTATTTCCAGGACAAATTGAAGAGGATGTTAAAATCAAGTATCCATCAAAAAATTGGGCTGCTTTGAGTATTTCTACTGATGTCTAAAACAGCTAGTCTGGTTAATGTGGAAATGATTCCTTCATTAATTTGTCCTCTGTGACTCGGTTTGAAGAAGAAATGGAGGAATGCTGAGCCTGCTGGGTAAATCAGACCACGTAACCCAACACTGGTGCCGTTTTCTGGCAGAGACGGCGATGAAAAGCTGGTGTTTAATGCGCCAGCCGTGCTTTAATGCTCGTCCTTGAAACCGAGTTATGAAAGCGTGGCTGGCAATGAGACGTTGTTAAAAACGTGTTGATAGAAAAAGAGAAGTGATGAAATGTCAAAGTTGCCAACAAACTCCTATTTAACACAGTGACCTGGTGGAGCCTTTCATCTACGAAACTTCATAAAAATCTATGAAGCGGAGAAGCAACTACAGAGCAGTGATCCACTAATTCCTGTTTGTCTCCAGATACAAATGCATTTCAGATTTGTTAATATCTAGGCAGTTAAGTCAAAAGACATCATGACTTAGATGACATCTAGGTTTTCAATAACATTTAGCTAATGCCACTAAACAGTGTGGAAAATGTAGAGAGAATGTGACCTGAAAGAAAAGCTCCATTCTTAGTGGCATAAATAGGACCCTAAGCGCTCCCATAGGCCCCTAACCCTAACACATTAGAGGTCACTGAGAATAACACTGAGTGTTTCTGAGCCAGTCTGGTTACCTAAAACAGCTTCCCAAAGGTGTCTGCGGAGAAAGAACAGCGCATGGAACATGCAGCGTATGTGTTTATTAAAATGACTTCACTAAGTCAGATTCTGTGTCTCCTGACAGAAACTCAACAAATTAAGACCAAGGAATTTGTACAGAAGGGGATTAGGTCCACTGGAAAAAAATTTAAAAAGGTGAAGGGATTTTTTTTTATTTCACTTGAGTTTAATATGGGAAAATCTCAGAATTCTGATTATTTTTTTCCTTCTAATTCTGACTTTCTTTTGGAGAAGAGGATTCGTTCCACTGGAATCAAAAATAAGTTAACAGATTTTCTTTTATCTTATTTGAGTCTAATATGGGAAAAAGTCAGACTTCTGAGTTTAATCTCAGGATTCTGAATTTTTCATAGAATTTTAGCTTTTTCCTAATAATTCTGATTTTCCCCACAAATTCTGACTTTCTTCAATAGAAGAGGATTATTTCCACTGGAAAAACATAATAAAGTTAACAGATTTTCTTTTATCTTATTTGAGTTAAATATAGGAAAAAGTCAGACTTCTGACTTTAATCTCTGGATTCTGAAT